AGCGAAAAAGACCAGGGGCAGGAAAGGGGACCCTAAGAGGTAGTCCCTGGGGCATCGAGTGCGGGCAAGCTGCCCCTCCTGTCTGTCATGTGCCTCCTTCCAGAACCTTCTGGCAGCATGTGCGTCTGGCAGCAGCTCGCCGGGAGATTAGGAATCCCCCTCTGCTGTTAATAGGCTTAGGGGAAGCTGGACTGCCCTTGGCCCAGGTCACTGGGGCTTAGGGCATATGGGGAGAGGCTCTAGGGAGAGGAGGAGGAGAGGTCACCTTGTGCAGTGGTGCAAGGACACTGGCCTTGTCCAGAGCAGCCGAGGCCACTCAGCCACGCCGTGCCAGGCGGGTGACCCTGCTCCCCAAGCTGGCTCCAGGAACAGAGGGCCTGGGGACTCCCCAGGAGGGGAGACAGACGCCCAGCACCCTCCCTCCCTGAGCCTCAGCTTGTCCCTCTGTGAAGTGGGGCTGGGAGACACAGGACTTCACAGCTCAGCCCCGAGTCTCTGAGACAGGCCCCTTTCCCAGGGTCACCCTGCCCCCCATTTTGTGGGTCATTTTCCATCAGCACTGCAGAGTGCCCGTCATGGTGCCGAGGGGCTCAGGGATCCCTCCATGAGTGGGTGAAGGGAACTGACAGCACCCCAACCGCAAAGCGCAGACAAGAGGCAGAAAGCAATAAACCCATCAATAAGAATCAGAGGGCAACAGCCCGGGGAGACGCCCACCAGCCCAGAATGAGGGCTAACACGACGCATGATAAGAAGAAGCAAATCAGAACCTGAGGACACGGGTTGCAGGGCGGCAGTTCAGGGGAGGCCTCCCTGAGCGGGGACCTGAGATGAAGGGAGCCCACCCCACTAACCATCAGGAAGGGCCATTGGAGGCTCATCTGCAGGGCCGGGCAGGCAGGGGAGGGGCCACTTGGGTCTCATCCCAGTCCCAGCAGGAGCCCCAGAGGACTCTCAACAGAGTAGCAGCTGGGCCGGGTGCAGTGGCTCACGCCTGTAATATCAGCACTTTGGGAGGCTGAGGCGGGTGGATCACGAGGTCAGGAGTTTGAGACCAGCCTGGTCAACATGGTGAAATCCCGTCTCTACTAAAAATGCAAAAATGCAAAAATGCAAAAATTAGGCCGGGTGCGGTGGCTCAAGCCTGTAATCCCAGCACTTTGGGAGGCCGAGACGGGCGGATCACGAGGTCAGGAGATCGAGACCATCCTGGCTAACAGG